GGGCGGTGGGTGCCCGCCCTGGCCTGCCCCCCCCTATGGCCTCCCTGGCTCCACAGCAGCAGCCACGGGCAGGGGCGAGTGGAGGCGCCCGCAGTTCCCGCCGGGAAGAAGCAAGGCTGGAGGTGCGCGCCGCAGGCCGGCTTTTCCTCTGACCTCAGTGTCCTTCACCTCCCTCTTCAGTGCGTCCTGATGGCATCAGGAGCACTGAAAGTCCTTACAGAGCAGGTAAGAGACTCCCATGTAAGACTGAGCTGCTTCAGACCATCTGGCTAGCAGCAAAAATGATGTAAGGACCATTTTATGATACTGAAGTAATGCGATGCAGAAATCCCTGTGTAAACATGGTATGTTGTCAGCATTAAAAGACTATATTCCAAAGTATTTTGTATTTTTTTTTATTTTTTTTAAAAAGACAACATAGAATTCCTTGAATCAAAGTCACTTTGGTTGGAGCATAAGCGCCTCTAAGCTGTGTAGAGTCGCAGCTCAGGTGGTTTGCGAAGCCAGCCCAAAATTTCCACCCACTCTGTGGTCGACTAAAAGAGCTGCTGCAGCAGGAACCCTACTCGTCATGCTCCCTGTTCCTTAGCCTGCAATGAGGGTGAAGTAAGGGATTTCCAGACCTTACCTTGCTCTTTGCAAATCCAGGAATTCCTTGGCTCCCATTTCTTGCAGTAACCTTCCCTTACCCTGCTCCTACCCATTCATCCAGGCTCTCATGACCAAAATGAAACCCTGCTGCTCTGGCAGTATCCCAGAAGAAGTTTACATGCAATCCTCACCCGAATTTCCCCTGTTGAGATTTCAAAGGTTTCTTACCGTAGAGGTGGCAGCTGGAATTTGAGCGTGGGCAGCTGTTCCTCCACATGATGCCCGCTTGTGGAGGAGCTGCATCTCAGCTGCAGATGCAGCTGAGAATATTTTGACTTCTTGACATCCTTTATGGTGACATAGCCACTGTCTGTCATTATCTGATTGGCAATGTATGCGGGGAGGAGCTGAGAGAGTGCGTTGTTTGGAGCATGGATTGTTTTTTTTAATCTTTTTTTCCACTAGCAACCTCTTCAGTTACTGGCCAGCTTGGCCTCACTGCTCCACAGGGTTTAAGCGGACACACAAGGCTCACAACTTCAGGCTTTACTCACTCCCAGGATGGCAGGGACCAGCAAAACGGAGACAGTCTTGCTACCGTTGATACTCTTTTGCTTTCACATTGCACCCTGTGAGCCTTTTCCAGCCTCACTCTCCTCGACATTGCATGTTTGTGAGCTGACTCATATCTTCTTCATCCCTCTGCAGTGTCTGCAACATTTGTTTGTGGAGTTCCTTCGTTTCATATTGGGATTGATCAGTGAGGAGTGTGGGATCTGTGTGTGACTTGATGCATACTGACACACAGCTGTGAATAAGCCTTACAAAAACACACATAATTACAATGATTAGAGCTCCTATAATCGCTGATGTTAACAGTCCTCTTAACCATTCCTTGGTCCCTCCTCCTTGGTTAAGGCACCTGTCCCTACCATTCAAATGCTTGCTCTGCTCTTACCTTGCGTACTTGTCGTAGGCCTGCATGTAGCTTCACAAAGTCAGGTTCGACTAAACGCAGTCCATCTAAACGCAGCATCTTCCATTCACTCAAGCACAAATTCTTCCTTGAGAAGCTAACGGAAAGCCAAGGGCAAAGCAGTTCTGCCCCGCTACCCACTTCACCAAACACTGAATTCCCAGATGAAGTGCCTGCAAAGCATCTAACATTGAGTGATCGATTGTTCCACTGGGGTTGGAATAGCTATTAGGACCTTCTCGCATCGCTCCAAATCTAATTGGGGTGTGAAGCATTGGGCAAATTGATGGAATTGGATTTGTCTTTGAACTTTGTGTTACCATGATGTTGTCACATTATGCCTAGGTGTGCTGAGACCAAGCTCAGGGAAATAGTGAAGCCTGCCAAAAGGATCTGTCTCTTCATGACAGGCACCATTTAGGTTTTACACAGTGTGATACCAAGAACCATAGGTGCTCCCAAAACACACGTTCTGTCAAAGGGCATGGTACTCCACGGCCCACTCTCTCCTGCAACAACGTTCCTTCAAGACCTAAGATTACACCTTAGGCTCTGAGAGACCGAGGAACTGGAAGGCACACCTGGATTACAGCAGGCTTCCTCTGGCTCAGAAGAGAGGTTGGTTGGGCTGTGTTCTGTAGGTGTTGCTACCTTCTTGCAGTGAGATGCAGGTGTCCAAGTGGGTGGTTCTTTGCAGCATGCAGCAGTACTGGTGATTAATAAGATTTGGTAGGATCCTTGGCATCAAGACCGGAGAAC